CCCCCCCCCCCCCCAATTATCGCGTCTAGCTACGGCCCTGGAAGACTCTTAGTTATAGTTTTACAAGATGCTTTTCTTCTGTTGGTCAATATAATAAGAAAGTTTTAACGTAGTATGTGTTTTATTTTCTAATTGCAGTTACCAGAATGTTGCGATAAAAAGTGGAGCTGTAAGACATGCTCTCCATGTTATTCTTATCTTGTCTCTCATGGTTTAAATACAATTAAAAATGGCATTGGAGGAGTTGGAATGTTTTTCAGTTTCACTTTGGTACGTAGACAAATTTACATGCATTTGAGCTGCATGGGTCAGAATCCAACTCTGCATTTTGATTGGATGATGGCTCCCCACAGGAAGCCCAGGCTCTACGTGTAGCCCGCATTCAGCCTTTGCCTGCGCCAGCCCTAACCCTCTTTTTCCTGTGGGCTCCCAGGCCAATTCATGACGTAATTGTTGAAATAGTGCATTGCTTCCAGTGATTGCTTCCCGTTGCATGGCAGTGAGACTCGCGTTTCTTCTGTTGTCATAAAACGGGAACATCTGGAAAATGGAAGTGAATACTGACAATGTGATTTCTCTTTTGGTCATGTTTTACAGTGTTTGAGTTTTTTGAGTTGCCAACACTATGGCCCTTTACGTAACATTAATTACTGTAGCGTGGCAATAGACAGTACCATACTATACAGTGATCGGGATGTTCCACATGGCATAGTTAAGGAGCCATGGAGCGACGTTATATCCATTATTTAAGGGGTTAGCTCCAAATTCAAATGTCAAAATATGTGCTTTATAAAAACTTTGAATCAACAATTATGGATTTAGGTCATTTCCAAATCATTTGGTGGCAAAGATCTTCTGAACCTGGGGTAAATGGCATCCAAAAAATCTAACAATATAGATTGTAGGGCCGCTAAAATAGCCATGAAGCCAAATTCAAAAACTATTGGGGTAGGATCTACCTCAGTCATACACCTGTTGAAGTTTGATTTCAGGATCCATTGTCGTCACCAAGTTACTCGTTTTGGATCGCTTGGTGGTCCATGTCTACCTCCATTCAAAGACTGGATACTTCCACAAAAATAACATCTGCATGCATGATGTTCCATTTTCTTGAACGTAATTCTCCCAACGTGCAAATGGCATAATTGTGCTGAATTTTCTTGTAGTTTGTTGGAGTGGTGATGGCGTTCAGATACAGACATCAGAAAGATCCTCGAGCAAATCCAAGTGCTTTCTTGTAATTCTTGTACGAATAGTAATCCAACTTGTTTCGAAGATACTTGTGCTAAATCAGTAGAGTTATATAGTAAGATATACATGTTATTTATGTTAAGATCTCTGTCTATGGCATTGGAATAAAGTTGGGAAAGAAATTGCGTTATGCTACGTTTTTGAACACTGCAATTTATCAAGTCGATTTTCGATCTGCGTTAATGATTTTCGAAAAGTATGCGGTACATGTGATTTGAACGGAACGATAGTGTTCTTTATATTAACATTAGACAAAACCTAAAATCGACCCGACCAATGTGTAAACGTGCCCTTAATTATTCATCGTCAACCTTCATGTGGGTGAACCTAAAATAACCAACATCAGTTTACAATTTTATCGACAAATGACAGCCAAACAAAAATATTTCAACCCAGTGCATTAAAAGACGAATAAGCCAATTCCGACTATTGCCTATTGAAGATACAGGCTGCACTGAGTATAGTTGTTTGCATATGTATCGTTATTTGCATATGTTAACATCGTAACCTGCAGGACATTTTTCTTTTACGGGTTACTCGACCTGGTATCGCCTGTTGGGACTCTCGACCGAAATAGTGGGGCAAAACCTCTTAAATTCAATTAAACTGCAGATAGTTTGCAAACAAATTTGTTTGTTTTTACTTTTAGTATTTTTCAGCCAACCCCCCCCCCCCCCCATTTCCGCCAAACTGTTTACTTTAAAATAGTCTTCTCTTCACGGTTTGACTAATCTAGTTCCTTCACCGCTCGCCTCCAAATGGATAAACCTAAATTTTATGACTTGGTCATTGATCGACAATTATTGTTTCGAAGCTTTTGCAATGACGACGTAAATCAGGCTGAAAAAATGAGTTGGTTGTTTATTCTGCTCAACATGCATGGGGCGGGTTAAGGCTAATTTCCACCAGGTTTCCACTCAGGAAAATTATCCGTAGATTGGAACGGACAAGAAAATTTTTCTTTGTGTTAAAGTCATCAGTTCCAACCCAGAGCTCACAAGACAAAGAAAAATTTTCTTGTCCGTTCCAATCCACGGATAATTTTCCTGAGTGGAAATTAGCCTTTAGAATTTCGCTGCTGCATCGATCCTTTGAGCATAGTTAATTCGTATGTATGAAAGGCAATGTTTGCTGCAACTTGCAACGAAATATAAGCCATGTTACGTAATACAAAGTATTAACAGAAAATCAGTGAGCATACCGCATGGACTACCGTTCTCACGTTTCTGATACTTTTCATTCTCGTTTATTTCTTTCATGCCTGTTTGAGCAAATGAACGGTAAAATGCGGAGCAAGTTCTCATTCACTTTAATTATACACGACTCTGTCTCTGTGCTGATAAAAGTTGCGTTGCAAGTTGCGTGCGTTGCAAGTTCCCTCGTGTAATATGGCCTTAAACTACGGATTTTAATGATTAATTTACAAATGAATTCAATTTTATGAATTGCAGTATAACTATTCCTGGAACATCATAACGTGATTTTTAAATCATGTTAAAACATCTTAAATATATTAAAAGATGTTTAAAGATGTTAAAACATCTTTTAGATCTAAAGTTCTTTTAAATATATTCCTAAAGTACTTTATATACAACTACTATTATTAGAGATCATATAGATATGCAATTTTTGATCTAATTACTGATATGAATAAAATTGTTTCCATGTTATAAGTTACCTAGTGAGTGATGATCGTAATCACAGTTATTTTAATAGATGGTTTGGAGACTCGATGAAAGTACAATATAACTCATTAACTATGTTATTGTCCGGCTTTATGCAAGAATTTGGTCCTATCTCGTCACGTGTGTATTGTATTTTCGCTCAAATAACCAATAACAAGTTTGTGGTTGAGTTATCCATCCGTAATTTGAACAAATGCTCAATTTAAACATTGCTATTGGTTGTGCGGGAAAAAATACAATACACACGTGACGAGATAGGACCAAATTCTTGCATAAACCGAAACCAACATAGTTAATGAGTTATATTGTACTTTCATCGAGTCTCCAAACCATGCATTCTATTAACTGTGTCGTAATGGAATACCTATCTTGATTACCTTAGTTCTAGTATCGACAATTATCAAAGTGGAATTATTTCAAATTATTTTGAAAAAATTCTCCACTAAGGCTACCACATCTTCCACTTCACCCGTATCGTACCGAAACGTACTGGTGAGCATGCGCACATTGAAAAGAGTTTTATAAATCCACGTACTTCCGGGTGTATCCGCGTATCAAAATAAAAAGTTCGTCGCAAGTCAACTTTTTGGCGTACTACGGAAGTACTAACCAATCAACATTCACCTGAATTTTGAAATTTAAAAACGTTTTCGCTCAAGGTTTTCGCTACGTTACGGTGCGGGCGAAGTGGAAAACCGGCTTAATTCGTTTTCGTATTATTTCAGGAATTAGACCAATGCCTCTATTCCCTTGGAAACAGTGGCGTTGGCAGACCTTCGTTTGTTTTTTTTTGGGGGGGGGCGAAGCGAACGCCGAAGGCGTTAGACCGTCTATGGGGGTCCGGGGGCGTGCGCCCCCTGGAAAATTTTGAAATCTAGAGTCCCTGAAATGCGATTTTCAAGCATTTTGGGGGTGAAATCTTGCAGAATTCCGAGGATTATAAAGTACATCGAAGAAATAAATTTTCCCAGACATTTCTACTCGGAACTGATTAAATAAATTGGAAAAGTCACCTTGAGAAACAGGAGGAGGGGTCAGTTTCACACTATTTCTCCTCTGGAGAAAATCTCAATGTGATTTTATGAATTTAAATTATTCTAGGTTCTATGAGACACCATTTCCGCATTCTTAAAATTGCGTTGCTTTTTTATACAATACAAAATAAGTCTGAGAAGAAAATTCATGCCATAATATTGCATACATTTGAATTTAAACTAAGTCTATTCTTCTTGGAACCATATCTACAACTGCTTTAACGAAATTTTACAAATCAAGTTCCTCCAGTATATCGTTTTCCTCAGTCGAGACCTGCTTAATCAGTTTCAGCTTCGGGCATGTAACGTGTAACCCTCCCCCCCGGCCCCCAATTTCTCTAAGGATTAAAGGTCCAGACACACCGGACTCAAAATGTTATAATTAACGCTTCTAAATATTTGGAAAGTTTAAACTACGATCAAAGTTATCAGTCAGTGAAAATTGAAAAATCACGTCGCGTTGTCGAATCGCGTCCGGTGTGTTTGGATCTTAAGCCTTTTTCAGAGAATGTTTTTTGTGGCGATGGGGGGGGG